TATATTTTGAATATTTTCAAGTTTCAATTTGAAATGATCAGAGTTACATACATGTTTAAATAAGGGTTAAAAACCACCCACTAAGAAAGCAGCAGTCTTACCTGTAACGAACATGAAAAGAATGGTCTTCCCTCATGCTTATCAAATTTTCCTCCATCGAGTCATATTATATGCTGAGGATAATATGAAATAATTTTATTTTGTGCCAGTCCAGTTCTTTACAATGTAGAATTGTTGCAGAGCATTGTCCGGTTAGTATATTAATGAGTTGGTGTTAATACATCCTAAGCTCCTGCTTCTTCTTTATTAATAATGAAAGGAGGTCAATGTCAGACAGCTTAAAGGTTCAAAATGTGTCCCAAATCCTTGCATCTCTGGCCCTTTCAGCAGCACTTCAGCAACATTTCTGCAAAAGGAATACAAGATGCTTTGCTTGAAGTCCTATTTTCAAAGAATAACCTAAAGTAATTCCAAGCTGCACATAATCACACGGCTAAATCCACAGACTGCTGTCATGTCAATCATGAGAAAAGCAGCAAAGGGCTTAGCTGTTACCACGAAGCTTCTAAATAAGGATGTGAATATTTGAGATTTATTTGAGGCCTATACTTAAGTTTAATTTTTTTAAATGGTTTGAAATACAATAATTTTATGTACTATTTTCTATTATAAACAAATGTAAAATATGTATATTAGTATCTAAAAACAAAATTATGACACTTTAAGCTTTTAAAAACTACTAACAAGTAAAATGAAAATTCAATAATTATTTGAACAAGTTGATTTTAAACTCTGTAAATTCATTTCTTTAAAGAAGATACCTATGCTGATAATTAGGTCATACTTGCATTCATTTGCTCTCAAAGTATATCCTATTTAAGCTCTTTAAGGTCTTTAAAATGTTTTTCTTAATACTGAATTGATACAAAAGAAATTTTGAAAAATATGTGTATGGTAGAATGACAACAAATATTTATATAAAACCACCGAGGTTTAAGATAAAAAACATTATCACTGCCTTTGAAGTCTCCTCAGTGCCTCAACCTAACCCATCACTTTTCTTTCCCCTGTAAAGTAATCTCTAAACTGAATTTTACTCATTGTTTTGCCCTTGTTTGTCTTTGTAATTTTGCCTCAAATATCTGTATAGGCATAAATAATATATCATTTAGTTTTGTACGGTTTTATACTCCACATTATGTTTCTGAGATTTATCTCAATCATTGTTACACATAGCTACAATCTGCATTTTTTTATTCCTGTATCATACTCCACTGTACACCAAATGTATCGCTCTTTTTGCTGTTGATGGGCATTTGGATTGCAGTGTTTTGAATTTTTATTTTTTGGCTATTATTCAAAGTATTTGCTGTGAACACTGAAATTAGGAACTCAATGTACTTGGTTAAACAGAACGGAAGATCAGTTAAAGCGAGAATGAGTAAACTATAAAAATATCTGAATTATGCAGACATATACAAGTAGAAAAAGAGAT